AACTACTTTACTGAATTTGGTTATTAAGACTAGAAGACTTTTGGTGACGTTGGGGTCTTTCATAGAGAGTATCATGTCATCTGCAAATAATGACAATTTGACTTTCTCATTTCCTATCTTTATTCCTTTTCTTTCTCTCTATTGTCTAATTGCCATGGCTAATGTTTCCAAAACTATATTGAACAGGAGTGGTGATAGTGGACATCCTTGTCTTGTTCCTGATTTTAGTGAGGATTTCAGTTTTTGACCATTCAGTACGATATTGGCTGTTGGTTTCTCATCGATGGCTTTTATCAGATTGAGGTAGAGACCATCAATTCCAATTTTATAGGCTTTTTATTATAAATGCGTGTTGGATTTTGTTGAATGCTCTTCCTGCATCTATTGAGATGATCATATGGTTTTTGCCTTTAGCTCTATTTATATAGTGCATTTTGAACCATCCGTGCATTGGTGGAATGAATCCCACTTGTTCAGGGTGTATGATCTTCTTGATGATCTTCTGCATTCTATTTGCCAGTATCTTATTAAGGATTTTTGTATCTACGTTCATTAGTGAGGTTGGTCTACAGTTCTCTTTTTCACTTGGGTCTTCCTCTGCTTTGGGGATCAAGGTGATGCTTGCTTCCAGAAATGAATTTGGGAGTATTGCTTCCCTTTCAACTTCATTGAAGAGTTTAAACGTAGTAAGCCAGCATATTATTAATGGTTGAGTCAGGGTGGTTGGGGCTTGAGAAATATGTCTGGTTCCTGGCCCTTCCTCTTGAGCCTTCTGCCCCTAGACTCTGCCCTCCTTCACCAAAGGAGCTTTGATCCAGGGTGCCCTCCTACCAGGATGTTCTGCCTAGAAGGCAGCAGATCCTGGACTGAAACCTCTAAAATTCCAGGTCCAGTGAGCCAAACTAAACCATTTCCTCCTGGTATTTCATCCCTGCAACAGCAAAGCTGACAGATATACTCACTTTTAGTTTATACAATCATGTTATTACATTTTATCCTTTTGAATGGCTTTATATCCTCTCTCAATAGTGCAAGACACACAAAGAAAGGATTATACTGACTATTATTTCTGTAGTCTTCAGCTTTAAGTGAAGATCTCTCTTAAGGATGTATGCAGGTGAAGGGTCCGAATAGCACAGAGGTTTTTCCTTTTAAAATACTGCCCTGCCATTCTATTTCTTGAGTTTCTTTGCCATAGTGACACGAAAACATGGATGTAAAATATGGTGGCTCTAACACTGTGAACATTCTATCTCTTACTACTTTCACACCACAGTCCTTGACTTGACTTAAAGACCCTCCTCTTGCATTACGGTCTACCACCTCACCAAGCTGGATTTGGTGCTTTCTCTTTGTGCTTCATTGATTCCCAGTGAAGTCCAATCACCCTTTCCCGTCTAAGCTGTCCCACAGCTTCATTCACACAGCTCTTTCTTGTGTTTTGTGAACTATGCTTCTCCACAACCTGCACTTCCATTCTCCACCCTCTGTGGTCATTTCACCAACTGTCTGTACCCTCCTGATACTGAACACAGTTCCTACTGTACCATATCCTATACACACTGTTTGGAATGGCAATAATAATAATAACAACAATAAGAACAACTGACAGTTGCTGAGTACTCGTCATGTGTCAGGAGCTGCCTCAAGCACCGTGAAGGAATTAAGTCATTTAACCCCCACAGGAACCCCATGAAGTGATGACAGTTACTCCAGGTCTGCAGTGAGAGGAACTGAAGTTCACACTGTTTGCTCAAAGTCACTCAGTCAAAAGCAGTAGATGCAGGCCTTGACAGAAGACCTCTCTCATGACTCTGCTCTG